CTTCCGTGTTTGTATACCTTTGGCATATCTCTAATATTATAGTTAATTATATTAATAATTACTACTACATAATTATTTGACTGTCTATTTCCCCTAATAGAATACAATCTCTTTGTGGTCAAGGAATGTGTCTTACCTAGGTGGAGTGGCTCACACCTGTAATCCCAGCACTTTGGGAGACTGAGGCAGAAAGATCACTTGAGCCCAGGAGTTCACGACCAGCCTGGACAACATATGGAGACCCTATCTCTATAAATAAGTAAATAAAAATTAATTGGGTGTGGTGGCACACACCTGTGGTCCCAGCTACTTGGGAAGCTGAGGTGGGAAGCTCACTTGAGCCCAGGAGGTTGAGTCTGCAGTGAGCCAAAATCACACCAGCACTCCAGCCTGGGTGACAGGGTGAGACTTCGTCTCAAAAACAACAAAGAAAAACAAAAAAAACTCAGCATTGTGTCTTATTAGTCTTTTTAAACGCAGGTTCTAAAACAGTGCTTGGGGCAGGGCACAGTGTCTCACACCTGTAATCCCAGAACTTTGGGAGGTTGAGGTGGGCAGATCACTTGAGGCCAAAAATTCAAGACCAGCGTGGTCAACATAGCGAAACCCCATCTCCACAAAAAATACAAAAATTAGCCAGGAATGCTGGTGCACACTTTGTAATCCCAGCTACTCAGGAGGCTGAGACATGAGAATTGCTGGAACCTGGGAGGTGGAGGTTGCAATGAGCCGAGATTTCGCCACTGCACTCCATCCTGGGCAACAGAGACAGATTCTCAAAAAAAATAAAAAAATAAATAAAACCATGATTGGAAATAATATTCAATAACTGTTTAATGAATAAATATTCCCATATTAAAACTCTATAAAAGCATTTGATATCACTGTGGTAATGGGTAGCAGAAACTATTTATCAGAGTAATTTGATTACTTAGGACAATTCTGGCAGAGTTGGTGATGCCCTGAGTCACTGCTCCTAGGCAACAAAAAGAAGCAAGTTTGTATTACTCAGATGAATCGATATGGACACAGATATGGTCACAGACTCACAGGAACCTTTATCCAGTCTTCAAGAATATTTTTTGAGAGACTTTTATGAGACAGGCCCTATTTTATGCACTGGGAATATAACTGAACAAAACAGACAAGGTTAGCCAGGCGCAGTGGCTCATGACTGTCATTCCAACACTTTAGGAGGCTGAGAGAGGACTGCTTAAGCCCAGGAGTTTGAGATGGCCTGGGCAACATAGTGAGACCTCATTTTTACAAATAAACAAAATTAGCTGGGCAAGCAATCCTCCCACCTCAGCCCCTCAAGAAGCCTGTGGTCCCAGCTAATTGAGGGGCTGAGGTGGGAGGACTGCTTGGGCCTGGGAGCCTGAGGCTGCAGTGAGCCATGATCACATCACTACGGTTCAGTCTAGACAACAGGGTGACACAGTAAGATCCTGTCTCAAAAAAAAAAAAAAAAAATCCAAAAAACAGATAAGGCCACTGCCCTCATGCACTATTATTTTAGTGGCAGGAGATAATAATCAAATAAGCAGGGTTGTTTTAGATGATGATAATTGCTATAGAAGAATGAAGCAGAGTGCAGGGCATACTTTACATTGGATGATCAGAGAAGGCTTCATTCACAAGGGAACATTTGAGGTGAAACCTGAAATAACATGGAGTTACTTACGTAAAAGTCAGGAGGAAGAGAGTTCCACATGAGCACATTAGCTCAAAGGTGGAAACAAGCATGGCATAATCAAGCCATCAAACATGGACAGGTTGGATGGCATAGCAGGTAAGAACAACAGTATGAGAAGAAGACAGAAAGGTAGGGACCAGATTATGTAGGATATACTGGGCCACATAAAAGTGTCTGAATTTTACTTTTTTTTTTTTTTTTTTGTCGGGGGGGTTTTCCCCTTTTGCCCAGGCTGGAGTGCAATGGCGTGATCTCGGCTCACCGCAACCTCCGCCTCCTGGGTTCAGGCAATTCTCCTGCCTCAGCCTCCTGAGTAGCTGGGATTACAGGCACGCACCACCATGCCCAGCTAATTTTTTGTATTTTTAGTAGAGACGGGGTTTCACCATGTTGACCAGGATGGTCTCAATCTCTTGACCTTGTGATCCACCCGCCTCGGCCTCCCAAAGTGCTGGGATTACAGGCTTGAGCCACAGCGCCCAGCCCTGAATTTTACTTTTAAGTGAAGTAGGAAGTCATTAGAGGATTTTAAGTGGGGAAAGTATATGATATGATACATGTCTTTAAAGTTCACTCTGTCAGTTCTGTGAGGAATGGATCATAGGAGGCAGGCAAAAGTGGAACGAGGGAGATCATTTAGGAAGCTACTGCATTGAACCGACTAAAAAAAAAATGCTGCTGACTTGGAAAAAATGTTTCCTTTCATGAGAGTTAATTGGAATAATGTAAATTCACTGCTAACTTCAGTGTCTGATAAACACTCAACAATATACTATTATTAGTTTATACCGATAGAAAGCTCTTCTTATTCAACACGATGTGAACATCAAAACCCTTAAGACAGTAGCTTGGGAAGTATACAATGACCACGCACTCAAAGTTTAAGAAGTAGAACTGTATTGTTTATTTAACAAAATTTGTTGAGGATCTATACTGTTCAAATTATAAACTGGTTTGCTGAGCCAGCATGGGGGAACTAGATTAATAGATCAATCATCATAGAACACTAGATCTGGTAGGGATCTAGAAGAGTTCAGCCCCTCACTTTACAAACAACAAAACAGCAGCCCAGAGAAGGACACTGTGGTTTCTCCTAAACTAAAAAGTGAGAAAATCATACCCTAGGTTGCCCCAAGGACACACTCCGAATAGCTAAAGATGTTCATTAACAATATAAAACCAACTGGGCACAGTGGCTCATGCCTGTAATCCTAGCACTGTCGGAGGCTGAGGCGGGTGGATCACGAAGTCAGGAGTTCAAGACCAACCTGACCAAGACAGTGAAACCCTGTCTCTACTAAAAATACAAAAATTAGCCGGGTGTGGTGGCAGGCGCCTGTAATCCCAGCTACCCTGGGGGCTGAAGCAGGAGAATCATTTGAACCTGGGAGGCAGAGGCTGCAGTGAGCCGATATCGCCCACTGCACTCCAGCCTGGGTGACAGAATAAGACTCTGTCTCGAAAAACAAACAAACAAAACACCATAAAACCAAAAGTTTTAAGTAAAATGCTCTCTCAGTAGTACATTAATGTGCTATAATAAGAAAAATGTAATATGTATATAAAGCCCTTGATACAGTGCTTCGTACGGGGTAAACGCTCAATAAATGGCAACTACTACTTTCAGCTGCTTTAAAAAAGTCTTTATGGTCACTGGAAGGCTGACAGCGTGTGGTCTACCTGACATCAACTACTTGACTTAATAGTAGAGCCACAGGAATTTTAATCTAATTCGATTCTTTGATTTTCCAGATGGAAAAAGTGAGGTTTGAAGGGGCTAAATTCAGGAGTTCAAGGCTGTGGTGAGCTATGCTCATACTACTGCACTACAGCCTGGGTGACAGAGCAAGACCTTGTCTATAAAAAATAAATAATAACAATAATAAAGGAACTAAATGACTTGCACAGCCACCCGCAGTGAATCAGAGACAGAGCCAAAGCCAAACCCTAAATCTCCAGTCGGGTTTCCACTACATGTCACAGATCTGCAGTTTAGCTATAAGGTAGTGTTTCAAACTTTTATAAAATGGTAGCAAGAACATAGCTGCTGTACTGAACTTTCTCACTCCTTTTATTGAAACTGCCAGTGAGCTATGAATTTGATATAAGAAAGAATCACACCAACAATCAGGCTCTGAATATATAATCCATGAGTTAACAACGAAACAGTTTTGGGAACGCAATTCTATCATGAACACCTGATGAATAGATGCGCACCTGAGCAGCTGTTATATGCACTTAAATAGGCTACAAAGCCTCTCTACTTGTAGAATATAAATACAAAGAAGATGCTTTAAAACATTTTCCAAAGCACATTTAAAATGTTATAGCTGCTGGTCACTAAGAAGCTAAAGTGAGATAAACTCTCTTGGCATACAGCAACAGAATGGTTTGTTTTAAGCAAAGACTAAAAGGAGTCTAATAAAATTAATGGGAGACCAAGGCTAAAAGCCACAAATGCAGGAAAAGTTGTAGCAACCAATCCAAAAAAGTTTAGTCTTTCACAAAGAGTGGAAAGGCCAACTGTGGACGGTGGACTTTTAGGTCCTTTTGCATATAAAATTAGGATGCCCTTCCCCTACCCTTGAAATTAAAAAATCGTCTCCGAAGGGAAGAGACAACAAGCCAGGGCATGAAGAGGAATCCAGTCTGTTTCTTGTAAATTAAATTCAACTCAACAAATACTTCCTGAAAACCTATTATGTGCAAGACATTGTGAACGATGCTTGCCTTACCTCAAAGCCTTCAAAATTGTATGAGATAAAGGAAGAGAATGGGCTTCCCGGAAGTACACAACCCAAGGCCGAATAGAAGCGCCCTTACAGAGGTGCCGGTCAGGGTTATGAGTTCAAAAGCAAGAGGACTCTGGGACTCAAGAATTTCGAGTCTTCCAAAGTGAGAGAAGTGGCGTTCAAGATGAATGCTTAAGAAAAGGCAGAGATATGGGGCTGAAAGGTAGGAAAGTAGGTGAACTTTCGTAAGAACGAAGAGAGGCCAACTCCCGGTTCCCTCACAACTGCGTTTCCTCCCGCGCTCAGCGGACTTCATGCACACCCACAGTCCGCGGGCCGGCGCCACGGCTCCCGACCAGGCCTGCCCCTCCTCTATTCTCTCCGCCCTTTCTCACCTCGGTCCAAACTCTTCGGTCGGTCGTCTGACAATGCCGTCGGTAGTGAGCGCTAAGGCCCGCAACCTAAGAGGTCTGTCAACCAGCGAGCCACCAGCGGCAGCTAGGCCGCATCTCCTTGGCAACGCCGCCAAGCACCAGTTCGAACGCCCGCGCTAGGGCCTGCGCGTCGGCAGTCCCGAACCGCCCACCAATGGGCATCCAAAGAATCGGTTGGCGTTCGTGGACTTTTCCTCTAAAAGACCAATCAGAGGACCTAAGAAACAGTAGGCGTAACTCTCAATTTCCGACCTTCGGCCAATCGTTCCACTCGAGTGAAGATCTCGCTACGTTCTCTGTGTGAAACGGCACCTTTAAGGCAGGCCGAAGATCCTTCTCCCAAATTCTATTGGTGGGCCCAAGCGTAACCGAGCTCTTCTGATTGGCCAGTATACTTCCAGTTTCCGTTCAAGGCCCGCCTCCAGCCTCCCTCTGCTTCGGGTGAGTAGCCTTAGGGCCCACTTGAATTTAGTTCTCAGTGGAGGAAATGAGCCTCGGAACGCTGAGAATCTTCCTCTGGCAAACCTCCTGTCGCTGCAGGGCCCGAGGTGGATGCGCCCTCCTCCAAGCCGGCAGTGAGGTGTGGGCAGGCCAGGTCCCATCCGCTCGCAGGACCTCAGTTTTCCTGACTGCACCAGGAGAAGGGAGGTTCCCTAACCGTGTGAGCCTTGCTTGCTCCAGTCCGAGTGGGGATGGGGTGGGTTGTCCGAATCCCAGAGGCGAGAGAGGTCCAAATTTAGGGCCCAGAGGCCTGGGCGCCGAATCTTCCCCTCCCTGGGCCTCAATTTCACTTTGTTGTTACCCATTAAACCCCGCTTGCTTTCCAAAAGAGATTTTATGTTTTCTAATTCCTTCAATTATTGAATGGATAATACCGTGCCAGTTATAGCAGAAGTAAAGAAAGTCTCACGAGAGCCCCACCTCCTTAAAAAAAAAAAAAA